CACGATTCATGTAACAAACTTAAGGAGTTATTGTCTACTTCTCCAGTTCTAATTTATCCTGATTTTGGTAAAGAATTTATATTGGAAGTTGATGTGAGCTTAAAGGGTATCGGGGCATGTTTGAATCAGATGGATGATGCTGGTCGATTACATCCTATTGCTTATGCGAGCCGTGGTCTTCGTGGAGCAGAGAAGAATTATGGTGCAAGTTATAAATTAGAGCTTCTTGCGTTAAAATGGGCGGTGGCAGATAAATTGAGAGAATATTTAATAGGTGGACGTACAATTGTTTATACTGATCACAACCCTTTAGTTTACTTACAAACTGCAAAGTTAGGTGTTGTGGAGCAAAGATGGGTGGCGCAGTTAGCAGGGTTTAATATCGACATAAAATATCGACCGGGGACTAGTAACAAGTGCGTGGATGCCTTGAGTAGATGTCCTACCAATATGAATAGTGAAGAGGTACACTCTGTTTTTGTTAGGTTGTGGAATCAACATTGGTGCCTGATATTTCTGAAAATCAAGGGAAAGTTAACAATGAAACTTATCATTAAGCCTAGTAATGGTGGACTGACGAAAAAAGTGAACCGTAATTTATTGATAATGATGCGGACGTTGATTCTAGTAGTAGTGACTCCGATATTGAGGGTTTTGTTATATTTCAGGATCCATTACGTATGCATATTCAAAGGGAAGAACCTGTAGAAACTCAAACTCTTAGGCGGTCTAAACGGAGTAATAAAGGGAAACATCCTAATCCTCATAACTTACCACCTTATTTTAACAATAAGATAGATTAACTATAGAGACTAGGTCATACTGTAATTTGTAGATAAGTTGTATTAATTATGTTATGATATGTGTGTTGTATGAATAAATGAAGTTAAATTGTGTGTATTAAAATAGGTATAATAATCATTGGGACAATAATTATTTGTCAGGATGGACTGTGGGGTTCGAACTTTTAAATGAACGTATGGATGTCAAATATTCATCCTGTGTGCGCTACACCGGTATGGTAATTAGTTCGGGGTTGGGCGCGGCAGGTTTGAATGCTAGAATCCATCAGTTGACAATAGTACATTGGTGCGGTTAGTCGTGTCATAGACTGGTTAACCGAGTTAAGGTAGGCGTATATTTTGTTCTGTAATGAATTTGTTTGATCATATAATGAATTGGTATTGGTATAGTAATTAACAATAATTAAATAATCCAAAAATATATATGTTAATGTTAATAATTATTTTTGTTATAGCCGATGAAGTTGTGATAATGTAGACTATTGCATTGTTCATGGTTGTGGTACTGCTTTATTAATGGCAATTACCTGTGTTAATTAATTACTACTATATTGAATATTTTATGTTTATTGGAAAATACAGTATAGAACCCATATTTAGTTGGTACTTCGTTGTTTAGTTCTGTAGCCTTATGAAGTACAATTTTCTGTCATTGTGAGGACCGGGATTGGAAGATTGAGTAGGCTACCGTGTCGTTTGTATCGTTAGAGGCCTATTGTTAACCTGTAAGTCAAGATGGCCGTATTTAATTGATTCAGATTTAGTATATGTTAATACTGTGACTGATAATTGTTGTTTTGCAGGGTTATGATTGCCATTAACTTGTTGGGGTTTTTTGTTTTCACTGTTGAGGGACTTCCTTGCTTCAATAAAAGAAGTCGAACCGTTCTGCAGTCGTTTTTGTGTCCTTATTTTGAGAGTGGTGACTGGCAGCACGCGACAATAGCAAATAGAAATATGATTGTTCCGAACAAGTTGAGACCAAGAGACCAAAATTAACTCTCTACCACCCGTGGTACCACTATATATGAATGTATAGTGTATATATATATATATATGTATATATATTTGAATATATATATATATATATATATATATATATATATATGTATAAAGCAAAATAAATATAATTGTAAATAAAGAGGTATTTAATAGATTTATTTTCTCTATAATAAAGTGTTTCTAAAGACCATACATAATTGTATTCGTTATTATTTCTTAAACATAAAGACAGTTTCGATTTTATGTATTATATCATGATTTATATACATATATTCCTATATATATTTAAATATATATACATATATATTGTATATTAATATGTCTATAACTTATAAGGTATTGTCATTATTATATAGTTATTATTGTCATCATACCGTTATTATCATCAGTTATATTATACCTTTTATTATTATTTTAATATTATTATATGAAAAAGAAATAACAAAGGCAATGATGTAAAACACTTTATTTGGCATAATTCGTCTGTGCATTCAAATCAAAATTCAGTAAATTGGGGCCGAGTTGACTTGGGGCCGAGTTGACTTGGGGCCGAGTTGACATGGGGCCGAGTTGACATGGGGCCGAATTGACCTCGGCCCGAGTTGACTGGGATCGGACCGAGTTGACTTGAATTCATGGCTATGACCTTTGACCATTACCTTTTGCCACATTTTAAAATGTAATACCAAGCCAAAAATGATTTTTGGACCACCCTTAACCGATTTTTTAAGCCAAATTCTCTGCACCTCAAAGCACTTGATCTGGCTCCTAGGGTATATCTATATTCTTTGGTAAAAAGGAAGGACATTATAGGTAACAGTTTAGCGCGTCAACACTATCAACGCTACCTAGGCCTATCTATTATCAAATCGAATTACACTATATCGAATCGAACTTGTTTTGTTTCGGTAATTTGTGTTATCTATAAATGTTCTTCCCTGTCTGCATCAATGGTAGCACTGGAGCGGGGGGTGGGGTGCTTGTCGGGGAAGGCCCTACACCCTTCAACCAGTCAGGGAGAAAGAGAAGATTTCGTCGGGGAATAAAAAATATCAGTTCTAATGGTCGTTTGTAAAGCATATCTTCCTCATTAACACTATTTGTGTTCATTTTTCATTATGGACACTCATGATGATTGGAATTCATTGTGATTGTAGAAGCAAAGAAATGTCACATCGAAATCAAGCAGTATTTGTTCAGATATTTCTTGGGGTCTCCACCATCCCCACCCACCCCCCTTATATTTTGAATGTCCCAAGAGTGGTATATAACAGGTATACGACTGCAGTAATTACAGAGATAAAAAATTGCCACTCTCAAATGTACTCACGTTGAGCGTTGAATGCATGAAACCAACGGTAACCTGTCAAACTTTGGATGTGGGTGGGACTTCAGAGAGAACGATGGAATCCACAAGATTAACGTTTAGAAAATACCTCATTATTAAACGGGGGTGTGCGAACTATTGTTATTGTACGTTTCTGGGCTCAACATTACAAATAACATATAATACACTATACTGATAATTCTTATATTCATATTTAGGTAAAAAAGCAGCATTCAATTTTGTATTTTACTCCCAAATTATAAGATTAAAATAGTAGTTTTCTATTAATGATTCCGTTTCACTAGTTTTCAACCCACATGGGTCGGACTGTTTGAAAAAGCTTGTTACAATATTTATTTTGAGGACATAATTATCTAGGAAACAATTAAGTGCGACAACACAGCTATCTGTCAAATCGAATTATATCAAATCGAACTTGTTTTGTTACGGTAATTTGTGGTGTTATCTATAAATGTTCTGCCCTGGTTTCAGAGGTTCTTTCCCGACAAACTAAGAATACTAAACACTAACAAAAGACAAGGCAGATGCGATCAGGAATGATTAAAATTTTTACTTTGTTATCAGTGGCAACTTCTCAATGTAAAGGTGCATAAATTCAAAATTAATCTATTAATCAATTTATTTATTTATAAAGCATTTTTAGCAAAAATTGTGTAACTCCGAAGACTGATCAATCAAATCTTTTATCTTTCAATCAGTTATAACGTCTTTAATAAATCAGTGTTCCTTAACCTTTTCAATGAGATATTCAGTATTAATATTTGTCCATATTTTATGACCGGTGATATCTTCCGATATTTATCGATAAAATAATAAAATCAAATATGTGTTAGGTCCCTAATTTGTCTATTCCTGATACCTTTATGGGAACATTCATAATTTCAATGCAATAATTAAGAATAAACATACAGTATGTTCTATTTGTTATGCTGCTGTTGTGTGTCGCTGTCATGCCCTGTATAAAAACTGTACAATATTCAAAAATACCAAATAAAATTTCAAATACAAAACTTTTAATAACTTTATTAATAAAACATACACACCCACCCACCCACTAGATAATAATGCTGCTATAATCACTTGGTAAGGCATTCAACATTATCAACATTTTCACATGTGTACAAACAGTAAGCTAGGGGGAGGGGATAGACAAATTTGTACACTTTTACATATGCAAAAAATGTTGATTCAAAATAACATGCAATATGTAAAATAATAGTAAAATTATAATGTCACCATGGATATAAAATTAAATTTTAAGCAACCAAGTACATTGCTTTAAAGTTGACCTCACAAAAAAATGGAGAATGGTTTTGCAAAATCAACATTTTTTAGTACACTTTCAGAGGGGAGGTATGGGGTACTGAAAAGATTACTGTTTGTACACATGTAAAAATGTAGATAATTGTGAACGACCCCTAAGCATAAATTCCATGTTTCATACTTTCTCTACTTCACTATTCTGTGATTCTTATAAAATATTAACACAATAATTTGTCTAAAAGTCATTACAGTAATTATTATTTGAAAGATACTACAAAAACATGTAACTTTACTTCATTATTCTGTGATTCGTCTAAAATAGTTTAAAATACAATAATTTGTCTATAAAAATCATTAATCTATTATTTGCAAAACACTATACATTTAAAAGAAGCATATGCACTTGGAAAACAGAATTATTTGTAAATGAACTTCATGCACTGTGTTGCACTACATTTGATCAACAAATGCTCTATGATTGTTATACTGTTTAAATTTCAAATCAATTTTTTGATTGCATGCAATTATAACATATAAACAAGAGAAAATCGTATGTACATTAAACAAACGTCTAGAAGTAAAAATGATTTGCAGTATAAAAATGTGTAGATCAATATATAAATGGATAGATTAAAAGAAACTGGCCAATAGCCGTCTACATCCTGGGTTGTCTGCTTAAACCCCCTTCATGCAGTTGTACTTGTGTGTAAACACCTTGATGATCTCTTCGCAGAGGACATGCCATTCCTTACCAAACTTCTCCTTCGAGTTGTGATCTGGATGGTAGTGTAAAATGGCTTTCTGCAGACACTTCTTCACCTGTGAGTCTTTGATCTTTGATGGCTCAGGTAAATCATCTGGCAACTTGTGTTCCTCCTTCTTTGGTGGATGGTTCTTGTAGATGTACTTTAGACATTCGTAATTATCATCGATGTACTTAAATTTCTTGATCTGTGGCTCCAATTTCTTTAGTGTTTCTTCTCGTTCTTTCATCCATGCGCGAGTTTCTTCAGCCACTGTCTCTATCTGGTAGGATTCAAGAGTTTGCGCACAGACTTGGTACCATTCTTCGTTGGTGAGAACACGTGGATGGAGGCTATGTGCCAGAGTTATTGCCCCTCTGTTGAAAGAAGATCATCATTCATATAATTATAATATAAGTGGGTATGTAAGACAGTCAAGCTATACAAATAGGGAGATGATTCTCTCTCGGATTTTACTATGCCATTAAACTTTGTACTTGCATTTATAATTAGGCTAGCCATTTTAGCTACCCACACCGCATCAAACCCAAATCTCAAAAATCTATTTGACTTTTTCTTGGCAAAAATATACACATCTGAGACATTAACCACCAATTTTATGCCTGGTTGTAACTATTTTTCCAGCTAGAATGCATGGAGTGACTGACCGTGATTGCAAAATTTGTCACTGATCTTGGGCAACAACACACAATTTCTGTTGTTTTGGCCTATTCACATTATAGTATAAAAAATCTACTACACACAAGTTAACATTATGATCTCAACATGAACTTGGAGGAATTTTGCGGGGCGTGAGGTTAAGGAAAACGGGAAAACCTAGGATGAGCTGTACAGTAAACAGGCTGGACACGAGACCGTCAAAGTTGGAGATTATTTGTATATGCCTTATGTGCATCAGTGTAGGAAGAGGATTACCAGTCAGTAAGTACAGTATAACCTCTCATTTACGTACGGAACGGGCCCAGAGGCGTTCGTAAAAATCATGCGTACGTAAAATCAGGGTTGTGTGAAATTCCTATGTATTTACACTACCGATATGCTAGGCTGGGCTAGCTAGGCTAGGCCTGGACAGAAATTTTGTTGGATTGGAGCCAAAACTCCAACTTGCGCTCAAAAGAAATTCAAAATAAAGATCATAATAATGTACAGTACTATGCATACTGTACTTGTTAATGTGTATACAAATTTTATTCTCTCTTTCTCGGGCAATAATATATGACTTATCTTCTAGCTTACGAAGAAACACAGCCCCGCGGGCGCCACAACAGGGCGAGTAACGCAACAATGTTTTTTACTCGACCCATGTGCTTGTGGCGTCAAGTAAATACCTGTACAGAATAACCCGGAAACCAGGGGTTCACAACTTTTTAAAAGAAGAGCTCTGATTGGCTGTAGACACGGCGCTTGGACTTTTTTTTGTTCTATGCCTACCATTAACATTTATGTAATGAATAATAAAGTTAAAATGTGGGTGTCAGTGTCTTATTTTATGGGGGAAATAATGAAATGGTAGATTAACGTTACAGTAGTTAGATTTGATAAGTAAAATCCATTCATAATTAGGGGGTTCATTAAATTACGATATGAGGGTGGTGTATTCATAGATGAATAAATCATGCGCCTATAGATATACCGACAACTTACTCATTTGGCGTTGTTTTCACACGGCTGCAGACATGAAGTATGATCACCGTGTTGAATGTCAGCGTATTCAAAGCGCACTATCTGCGTTTTGTATTGTAGTAGAGATTGCTGATAGTGTACAGCACACTGTCTAAATAAGACCGAGTGAATAAACTCCAGCACGCGTCTAACGATTAATTCTTGACACGCGTGTGTGTTTTGTACATGAAATAGGAACTTTATTTATGACAACAATGACATAATTTTACGTTCGTAAAATCAGGGTTCGTAAATGAGGGGTTCTACTGTAATGTGCTCATATACTTACTTAAAATATGGTCTGGCTTTGAATCTCAACTTTAGGATGCTGTCATAAATCACACCCATTCGGCTCATAGCGATGGCCTCCAGCTCGACGTCTTTTTCCCTTGTCAGGAGGATGGCTTTCTTGTACCAGTCAAGAACTTCCCAGACCATGTCTATGCTTAAGTTTTCCTCTGACATCAGAATATTTTGCTTCAGATCATCTGCAGTCCTTAACGCTTGTCTTGCCTGTGTTATATTAAAAACAAATTTAATTAATTTTTTTTTTGGTCTTTATACAGGGTGACCTTTTCAGTAGGTGTATACTATTCTTCCACAAGCCTTATATCAAGGCTTAGGGAGTGGAGCTGTTTTTTTCACTAAGGACCCTGCCATTGGAAGGTGAGCATCTTTATCCAACAAGCCATTCAACTCCACAACACAAGATCATAAGATTACATAGTAAATAAGATTTAGTTACAGAGTTATACTTTAAAAATTCAGTCACATGGTCACATGATGTGATGTCATCATGACCATATTTGGGCACCACATGTTTTTATCAAATAAAATTTGATAGTCTGGACAGGGCCTTGAACATGGTACACAAACAATGATTCTTTGAAAAGTCACCAGAGTCAATTTTCAATGTGAACTATTTTTATTAAACTTAGTCTTAATGACAAGATCAGGTCTGTTTAAAGGATGATGTTCAGGGATGTCACCACGCTGGTCGGCGGTGGACGGGCCCGTCCAGCACTCAACATTTCCGACCAGGATTTACAGGCTCCCGACCACCACTATTATTTCAACAGTTTACAAATTGTAACAAAATAATTAGTTTACCTAAACACAATAGACAAGCTAAATTGATAGATAAAAACAATAAGAATACAATAAATGTTTCCGTGGTTACGTTAATTGTAACAAAATACTGCACTAACTTAACAGCCTAGGCCCAGTTGAGTCATAGCGAACATCGTGGGCCGGCATGACACGGTTGCTCTGTACACATTCAAAGGTTAAAGTTGAAATCGTGACAATTCAAGTGTTTTATTATGAGATCATTGTCCGGGGCAGGAAGATTATTAAAAATTTACGAAACCTGATTTATGTTTTATTTCTTTACTTTCTTTTCATTTTGTATTTTAAGTTTTTCACTTTTAATTATAATTGATATATAATGTGTGTAAATGGACAAAAAATAAATAAATGATTGCACATGAATCAGTGACATACACATTCTCATCGTGGTAATCGTCAAACATGTGAAATTACGGCAAACAATGCGGCTGGGTACAGTGGCATCGACGCTTTGTCGCCGGGATTTGTTCATTATTATTTTTAAATCTAAAACAAAGCATGTCAACTATTGAATTTAATTAGGCCTACAGTAAGTCTCATCTTCATCTGTTTTGTTGCATTCCTCAAATTCTGGCCTAGGCCTACTTGGGCCTAGCCATAAAAAAAATCGCGTCAGCTAGCCTTGGGCCTAGGCCTGCTCGACTTACTTAGGCCTTTTGGTTTTTAAGAGCTTTCACGAATATGGCGACCCCCACCCCCGGGTAAATGGGGGGGGGGGGGGGTGTTGGCACCCCCACCCCCGGGAAAACGCGGAATGATCGCCGACCGGCACTTCAAAAAGCTGGTGACATCCTTGGATGTTACAGTCAGCAGGATCCGGATCCTGCTAACCGTTAGCTGCCGTGCGTCTATACGTGAAAATCCCGATCCGGATACCAACAATATTATGATCGAATCACTGGCCGATAAGAAACTGGAAATTGTAAACGCGTACATGTGATTGGTTGATGATAAAAACGCACTCAACTTGCTAACCGTTAACGGTATCCGGATACTGCTAATGGTTAGCGCTAACCGATCGGGCGTTCTCACGCATGTGCTAACTGTTAGTGCTAACGGTTAGCTCCCGATCTAGTTTACGAATTTTTAAATTTATGAACACCCCTTGGTACCAAGGGGTACGTAAAATGGACGTTTTACTGTATTAGGCTTATACCTTCGATGAAAGTCACCAAAGGTTTAATCTTTCTCTGCTTCTCTTCCCTTCAAGATCATTAGTTTCACATATTTATTAATTGCAAATTCAACTTTACCTCAACTACAGATGTCTGCATCACAACATCCTCATGCAGAACTCTAACCTCTGACATCACTCTGTCGCTTCTACCACAGCGTCTAGCTTCCTCCAAAGGTTGGTGGCAATCATATAAAATGCTCTTAGATTTACTGAAGACACCATTCTGGAGAAGGTTGATTGCTTTCGAAAGCAGAAACTCGACGTACAAGATGGACACCTCAGCCTTGGATGACCCTGTTGGAACAAGCTGACATGCCATTATCATCAGCTTATTCTTCTCGTCCCACATATCGGGCTGGTTGGTGACAAGATCAAGGCTCTCCTGCAAACACTGGTGCATTTTCTGAACCACATTATCAGACCACAAGTGGCCATTTTTAGCAACTTGACCACATTTCCAGGCTTTTGAGAAACTCTTGAGTGCCTCTTTGTAGAAGTGCAACACAAGAACATGCTGTGCTGTCCGATTGCTTTCTAGTGTTGCAAGCTTCCATGATACCATTGCAAGATTTTTGTTAGCAGCTGCTGATTCTCTTGGACTAGCACTGCACTCCAAAGCTTCTGAGTAGTACTGCATGGCTTTTTCCAAACGCCCTTTTTGTAACACAGGACTGAGACCAACAGTAACAGTTCTGTAGATGTTGTTACCCAGCTGACGCAGGAGATCTGATTGGCTTTGATTACCCATGCTTCCAAATGGCCGACAAGTCTAAAAAAATAGCAACAATTAGTTGACATGCAACACTTATATTTTGTAAAAATAGGCAAACTACATTGGCTTTATGAGTTTATTTTGTGAAAAAGAACAAAAGAGCAGATATGTAAAACTACATTTCTGCCAAGATTCCTTTGTTACAAAGACAAGTTCCTGCTGCTTCTGCCAAGAAAAAAATTTTAGACTCCAATTAACAGTAACCAGGAAAAAACCAAAATGGTTTTAAAATACTCTATGAAAAAATTCCCTACAGTAATTGGTAATGTTTTCAAGATATTATTTTAAGACTTTATTTACTGGACTCATTTCAACTGATAAAATAAAACACTTTTTCCTAAAGTTGTCCAAAGAAAGAGGTTCTATTTTACGCTTACATCGTTAGTGGCTGGTTTCTGAGCCTCCTTAGCCGCCTTCATGGCTGCCTCCTTGGCTGCCTTCTTGATTGCCTCCTTGGTCGCCTTCCTGACTGCCTTCTTGGCCGCCTTCCTGACTGCCTTCTTTGCCCTTTTCTTTTCTTTAGCTCCTGCTGCCTTCTTTTTACCCTCCTCCTCTGCCTGAGCTTCAGCTTGGTTTAATTTAAATAAATGTGTACCTTTAGGCTGGATGAGTATTCCACTTTCAACACCCTGCTTCAAAGCCATTTTAAGGTTGATATTCATGGTAGTAACTATGTTGTATTTGGCTTTGATGTACTTGCCGATTGCATAATGGGAACAACCATTTCTTTCTTTCAGTGCACCAATGGCATTACAGATCATCTCAATGTAAGTGGGAGGTGGATTCTTAGGAGTAGCACTCTTCTTAGAATTTCGATCAGCCATTTAGCAACAAGATGTTTGCGATTTGTACTGCAGGAGTAGGACTGTCAGTTACTGGACTGTGGGTAGAAAAAAAAAATTTGCAATAATCATTACATCTATAACAGACATGGTATGTAATGTCCATACATTGGTGTGCATTTATGAAGTTTCGATATCTGCCTAGTGGATATTGTTAACACCTTCAGTTACCCACTCATAGTACCTTTGAAATTGTGTATGATCAAGCTTAACTGACAAACCAGAATGTGTAATCTACATTATATATCTATTATTAATGGTTTGGATGATGTCATGCAGGTGGGAGATTTTTCAGGGACTTGCAGAGTTTCAACATTTGTTTAGGCCTACAGGGGCAGTAATAACATAATAAACATTTTTTGCTATAATTTTTAAATAATATTTAGTACACTAATTTCTTTGTTTAAGTTGATAATTACTTCAAAAAAGTTAATTTCAAAAATAATTTTTGATATTTTTGTTGGTATTTTTCATCGGATTAATACATCTTTCACATGAAACTATTGATTAAGAAAATGTTACAAAAACAAAACTGATGCACATGCTACGTTTTATGCTTTTTGTTGACTTGAAGTTGTTATTTGTAGTGACATCTTTCCTGAAGAGACTGTGCAACCCATCAAAACTTTCCTGCAACCCAATGACTGAGTTGCAGCTCCTAGGTTGCAGAACGGTTGCTTAGTCGATACCCAGCGTTATTAGGGAGTTTTCGATTTGCACAATTATGCGGCGCTAGAACGGATCCACTCGTGTGTGACCTTCTTACGTTCTCTCAAAGATTGATTTGGTCATCCTAGAACCTGTGCAATGCAATGGGGCATGCGCAAATGACATCTTAGTGATGTCATTACGTTCTACGTCCCATCTGTCTCTTATACACATCTGGCTTAGGGAGTGGAGTTGCTTTCTTTTAGATGTCAGAAAAAAAGTCCTGCTGTCACAGGATTTGAACCCAGGACCCTGGGATTAGAAGGCTAAAATAATATTAAATTAATGATTAATGAATAATGTTAATGAAAATAATTTAATTAAAGTGAATGAAAACAACACGAAGAGCAACAAGAAGTAACGTTCGATCGCGAATATGTTGAAAAACCACCACGGTGAAACACATCATTTTAGGCCTAGAGTAACCTACTTTAGGTTAGATGTAGATCCCCGCGGGATGTGTGATGGAGAGTAACTGATCATCTTCTAATCAAGCATGCATGTCTAGGCCTATTATAGTATTATTTAGGCCTAGCCTAGCTTCTACTGGACTGCTAGACAACGTCTGTCCTCTTGTTGGTCAAACCACCACCCTTGTAGAATTCCCAGGATAGAAAGATAGGCCTAGCATTTATTTATTGTCGAATAAATAAAATAAAACAAAACAAATACCTACAATTGCGCAGAGCTTTTTCCACTCTCATCAACATGTGAATCGGGTCAGTGTTCCTGAAATTCCGATCGCTCTTGGAATTGGAATGGGACCCTTAGGGATTCTCCAAAGTAATTCCAGGAAAACCCATTATTAAACGGGGGTGAACTTTGTATACAGTAATGTATAGGTAAAAGATATTTCATTTTGTAATTCCTTTCAAATTATAAAATTTAAATAGTAGGACATTTTAACTAATGATTCCTTTATAAACCCAGCCTCGAAAAATACCTCATATTTTTAAAAAGGGACAAAAGTCATGTTTTAAGTCGAACTTAAGAGTACTGGTAGGCCCTTGGTAATAAGCTCATACATTAAGGTAGAAAAGCCAACACTTCTCTCAAACTTGGCATACTGTGTAGGCCTACCGGTATGCATTTTCATTGCGAGTTTTAGGACCAGATGTTCAGAAATGTGTATAAATTAGTAAATGACCTAATTGGGGTAAAACTATATTAAATTTTGTTTATGACTTTGCAAAACTCATAGTTGTATGAGACTATAATAAAAAAAATCAGTAAAAAAGGTAATCGGTAGGAGAAATTGTATTTGTCCTCATACAAAATACAAAATGTTGGTTGTACACAGCTTTTCAAATTTAAAAATATTAATATTGTAAAAAAGACATGAATCAAATCGCAATGACAAGCGGCGCGCCTAAACAAGACCGATATGAATGATAGCAGGAGTCACTTATTTATTAGCTTGCAATTTGTATGATCCTCGTTCTCGAAATAATTATTTGTTCATTTAGATTTCCAATCACATTCAAAATTCGCAGTTTACTTTAATACTTAATTTGTTAATTTTCATGTTTATGCATATTTTTCTCGTGTACGTACCTTTTAGCAGCCTCTTATCAGAAGGTTGTATAAAGTGTATTTTTGTGGGATTTTACACCCGGGTGGCATTTTTCCCAATAAGTTTGCATAAGAGAAAACAGCATAGCCTTGAGCACTCATCATCATTCACTTTATTACGACAGTTAGGCGTTGGTCCTCAAGTTTATGTTTATGATTTATTCACGGGGGATACTCCCTCTTAATTCCAGGGAATAGATCTTTGATAGACCCTTAATAACAACAATGAGGACGCTTCACAACTTTTCTACTTAGTTATTCATCTGTTTACCTTTGATAAACCTCACGTTTTCTTTCAATCCCTCGGTATATTATTTATTTCACCATATTATGAGTGGGTGACACTTACAAAGCATGTCTGATGTTCAGGGGCATACTTAAATACAAAAATATACATTTATATAAAAGTATAGCCTATCGGTAACAAACTATAAAAATCAAAACGGCATAAAATAATCGAATATATATATTTAAAATTTAAAGAAAATGAATCAGTGATTATAATACAAAAAAGGGTATTAGAATTAAAATATTATATATGTAACCATTAAAACAATTTAAAACGATCTAAGTAGCAATGCACTCGGGCATTTTTTTTTTAAATTACGGCTCATATTTTTCTCATGAACAATGTATCCATTCCTTATGCCTCGTTATAAACAATACTTTAATAGTATTAATAAATTCCGTCCAGTATAAATAAGAAAAGAAAATATAAAGAATTTAAAACTTTTTCTCCGATTGACTGGATTAGTGACAATAAACAATAAGTTCTATATGTGCAAATTACGATATAATTGTATTTAAAAATAATTATTATAATATAACCAAATTAACTAAGTTATTAACTTTAATTAATGTACACAATTTTTACTACGAAAATCATCATTGATAACCAGGTCATATAAAGGTCATTATAGGTTAAGTTAAGGTATTGTAATTATGCGTCCGTTGGGCGAGGCTTTTTTTCACCTTTTTAAATTAAATGCAGAAAAAAAAAACTTATTAAAAAAATAATCAATACAAATATTGGGATTTTTTGGCAAGAAAAAAATGTTCTCGTTTATAATTTTAGTTAAGCACATAATTTATATTCCATATTTCATGAGTATTTCTACCCTGCGGCATTCTTGACCATGGTATAGTTTTCTCTGACATTTTGTTGTCTTAAGTTTGTCAATGGATCCTAGATTTAATAAAAAATATGGTAGAAACATAAACTGTTCTTGTAAAGAAAATTAAGCTTGCGAAGTGTGGTGATAGTCTACGCAAAGAATACCTCCGCTCACAACTACAAATCAGTTTACCAAAGGTTGCAGCAAAGTGTATAGCGCCCTCTATAGGTGAATAAGTTTGTATAGGCTTGACAATCCAGAGGTTAACGATTAGATAAACCATTATTTCGATGTGAATTTGCATCAGAAAAATATTATGGAAGTGATATTTTGCCCTAATGACGTGTTATCGTTCCGAATACTCGTACGTCTCCAAATACTTGCGAAACATTCTTTTTTCACATGTATTTGGGGACGCACTCGGTATTCGGTACAATAACACATCAAGTAGGACAAAACATCACTCATAACTAGTATTGAATTTAAGCCATATTATTATTAGTAAAGTATACTGTCACCATAAGTAAAGTGTTTATGATTCTTATTAAATCACACCAGTGTATAACAAATTTTAATCTCTGACGATGAAGTGTCATGTATCTTTTTTGACGAGGCTTCCATGTCTAGTTCTTCTTTGCAATGATGGGAAATGACAGCAACCAGTTCTTCCTCAATTGCATAACATACTCTGCACTGCACTTTATTATTTGCAGTGCAGTGTATTAATTTCAGAAATTAGCAAATGAATAGCATTAACTATATTTTAAAATGGTATCTGCCACAGTCATGTTTTTTCTTGTGATTTTGTTTTGGTGTTTACTCATACACGTTCATGATACTGAGGTAGGCGTAATAGTGACAATAATAGTAATACTGTACATTAATTAAATGCAAAAATACATTCGTGTATAATATTGATAGTATGTGCTTTCCCTTGCTTCATATCTCCCAGTTGTTCTAGTATCTTTTAAAATTAAATGTTGTGAAACATTTGGTATGGAGTAACATTTTCACTGGGAAAGATGTTATAAATACAGACAGCACCAGGTTTTGGGGGAGATGAAAGGAGTACATGTGACCATCTTTGGCATCATAGCAGTTGGTACACCAACTGAATGAAAGCTACAGGGACATGGGTTCGAATCCTGATGGGAACATTTTTCTGCACCATATGACAATATTTGTACATGCCATTGCTAATCATTAGAATATAAATTGCTTGTATATTTACATTTATGATTCTAAAGTAGATCATAAAGTATTACAACCAAATTATGATGGAAAGAATGAATGGCCAAATACCACATTGTTAATCGTGTTTCCAACACTTTTTTACAGCTATTGCATTCAATAATACAAACACATCAGATACAAAACTTGTAACTTTATTAATAAAACATACAGAATAAACCTCAACTGAGTGTAAACAGGAATTACTTTAGGTCTGTTTTGCAATCATCAACCGGTTGAATTCCTGCCTGATAAATGCTCTATTACATCACTATTCTGTGATTCATCTAAAATAGTTGTAAATACAATAATTTGTCTATAAAAATCATTAATCTATTATTGAACACTATATACAGGCCTGACTATATATTTAAAAGAATCGTATTAAAAACACTAAAATATTACACAACATTTTGATCACAAATGCCCTATGGTTTAATGATTATTTAATGATTGTTCTACCGTAATTTTAAATTATCTATTAAATTGAATATTATAAAAAGTATGCATGCACAATAATAAAATCTATGAACATGAAAATGTTTTATGTACAATAAAAAAGCTTCCTTAACCACAAAAAGCTTTAATTCTAAGACTGATTTGCAATATAAAAATGTGAAAATTAAACAAAATCATAAAACAATGCTTTAAGTAGATAGATTTGAAGTACCCAGCCGTTAAAAACTATATGCTTACTTATCCGTTCACACATCAACCCCTTTCATGCAATTGTACTTTTTAGTAAACACCTTGGTGATCTCTTCGCATAGGACGTGCCATTCCTTACCAAACTTCTCCTTCGAGTTGTGATCTGGATGGTAGTGCACAATGGCTTTCTGCAGACACTTCTTCAACTGCGTCTGTTCAATCTTCGATGGCTCTGGTAAATTATCAGGCAACTTGTGGTGCTCCTTCTTTGGTGGATGGTTTTTGTAGATGTATTGCAGACATTCGTAATTATCTTCGATGTACTGGAATTTTCTAATTTGTGGTTCCAGTTTCTTTAGTGCGTCTTCTCTTTCCTTCATCCATGCGCGGGTTTCTTGAAGAACTGTCTTCATCTGATAAGATTCAAGCGTTTGCGCACAGGTCTGGTACCATTCCTCGTAGGTGAGAACACGGGGGTGAAGGCTATGAGCCAGGGTTATTGCTCCTCTGAGGAAAAAAAAAATTATCATTTATTAATTAGTCAGATATCAACTTTTTGTAAAACAGGTAGGCTACCCTGAAATGGAATAGAATTCCCCTCCTCCACCCCAACGTTATTTGCATTATTTTTTTAATTATTAATTCAATGAGAAGCATATAAGAACCTTTAGAAAACAAAAACAAAAAGAAGAAAAAATTCATTAACTGCATGGCTTTTAGCTATACACCATTATCTGGTCTATTTTGAAACAGCACCACCAATGGCTCAAAATTTCCACCAGGGAACATCCAGCCAGAGCACCTTATTGTTCACAAATTCCTTTTTACCAGACACATATCTTCTTTTGAGTGGCACTTATACAACCAAAAGTACTGTAGATTTTATGCACCCCTATTTCTTTTTTCTTTTGGCATTTTGTATTTAATGACTAGCCTATACCTAGGCCAACTCACTACAACAAGAAGGTCTGCACACCATTCACAGCAGGGATAAACACTGATAACTATATAGAGCAAAATGCCTAGGCCTCTGGTCCTCCCCCCCCCCCCAATGGTAGATACCAAGTTCTTAGAAATTTATATTTCAAATTTAGCGAAAATGGTGTATACAATACTGTATTTGTCATTCAAAGCATTCCACTGTGATACTGTTCACGCAACTGTACCTAATATATCACGCCAATCATTGCTATTACATCGTTTATTCTGGACTGGGATTTGGAGGGTACAATGCTTACTTGAAATATGGTCTGGCTTTGGACCTCAACTTCAAGATGCTGTCGTAAATCACTCCCATCCGACTCATGGCGATGGCCTCTAGCTCAACATCCTTTTCCCTTGTCAGGAGGATGGCTTTCTTGTACCAGTCAAGAACTTCCCAGACCATGTCTATGTTCAAGTCTTCCTCTGACATCAGAATCTTTTGCTGGAGGTTGTCTGCGGTCTCTAGTGCTTGCCTTGCCTGTGATTTGTATAGGGAACAATAAAAATAATAAATTAGTTAGAATTATACTTTTTAAAGCTCAATTTAGGTCATTAGAAAGTATGATTGTCTATCTTCTGCCAAAATATCAATGATTATGTTTTGAAGCTCAATGATACTTTGATAAAAGTGAGCCTAAGTCTTCCTCTGCTTTTCTTTCCCTAAATATCACCAGTTTCAAAGATAACTTCAAATCCAAACTTACCTCAGCTACAAATGTCTGCATCACAACATCCTCATGAAGGACATTGACCTCTGACATCACACCTCTGTCACTTCCACCATAGCGTCTAGCTTCCTCCAAAGGTTGGTGGCAATCATATAAAATGGTCTTAGCTTTACCGAAGACACCGTTCTGAAGGAGTTTGATTGCTTTTGAAAGCAAGAACTCGGCGTGCAAAACAGACACTTCGGCCTTGCAAGCCCTTGTCGGAAGAAGTCGACATGCCAATACCATCAGTTGATTCTTCTCGTCCCACATATTTGGCTGGTTGGTGACAAAGTCAAGACTCTTCTGCAAACACTGGTGCATTTTCTGAACAACACTATCAGACCATAGGTTGCCATTTCCAGCATCTTGACCACGTTTCCAGGCCTTTGAGAAACACCTGAGCGCCTCTTTGTACAATTGCATCGCCAGGACACATCGTGTTTTCTGATCGCCTTCTACCACTGATGTTAACTTCCATGATGCCATTGCAAGGTTTTTGTTGGCAGCTGCTGCTTCTCTTGGACTAGCACTGCATTCCAAAGCATCTGTGTAATGTTTTCTGGCTTTTTCCAGACGCCGCTTTGTTAACACAGGGCCGATGCATCTAGTAACAGTCCTGTAGATAATGTTACCTAGCTGACGATGAAGATCTGATTCACTATGACCAACGTTGCCGAATCGTGAATAAGCCTAAAAATAATTGACAAAATATAACGAAAAATAATACTACAGAATTAGATAATCAAGGGCAAAGGAATTCCTATGTAATGAGTAAACACTGTCTTCTCTAATTTTATGCTATATGATAATGTACTGTATATTCATAATACTCAATCAATAAATCAATCAAATGAATTTATATAGTGCCAGTATCCAATAATAATGTTCAAAGACGTTCGACAAAGTCGAATTTGAAATGCTTCCGAGAGCAGGTAGCCTTTAAAGTCGGGCTTCGGAAGAAAGAAACTTTTGATATGTTGTAGCACTGATTTTTCTAAGATAGAAAAAAGTTGCCTGACAAAAAACTGGGGAACGGTGAATGAGATACAGATATTTAAAATTTAAAAACTGGGAAAAAGGTGTAAAAAAGGGCGGTTATACCCCTTCCCCCTCCCCACCGCCTCCAGTTTTTAAATATTCAAAAATCTGTATCTCGTTCACTGTTCCCTATTTTTTTTTTTTGTCACACCATTTATTCTGTCTTAGAAAAATCAGTGCTTCAACATATAAAAATTTTTTTTTCCCTCCGGAGTCTGACATTTTTTGGAAAATGTCGACACTTGTAAAGTTTTAACATGGGTTAGTGAAGTATTCCATAAAGTGGGTGCTGCAGAAGAGAAGGCACAATGACCACATGACTTGAGTTTCCATTTAAGGATGTGAATGAGGAATTTATTAGATGAACGCAGTATAAAAGGAAAGAAGATCTGAAATATACTGAAACATTGATTGGCTTGTAGGTTATGAGAAACAATTTCAGTGGCAGATTGAATGAAATGGGGGGGCCCAGCCAGCCTGGCCGCATATTACTTTTTTTCCCATACAGTTCTGGCAGAAATTATAGAGGTTGCTATTTTAGGACAGTTAGGGGAACTGATATACATAAAAATGCATACAGACTCCACCTCGCAAAACAGAGTCAGTGCTGTATCGAGTTTTATGCGTGGATGAATGCTAAGGAGTCACTAGGCCAAAATCTCTTAAATAGCCCTTGGTAGTCAAGGCAGTGTAAAAATTGTAGTAGGCCTACTAGATTAGACACTTTCTATGTAGGCCTACAGCTTGGTCTTCGAAAAGAATTTTTAAAAATGGAGTAGGCCTTATATTGAATCTGGCACCGTATTTGAGTAGGCTTAAGTCTACAGTTGGGCTTTCGATACAGTATGATGTGTGTGTTTAGCAATTGTATGCTCCCTATTAGTAATACACTACTCATTCTGAAGGATATATATACGTTTAGAAATGCTCGGAAACAAATTACAAGTACTTCAGACACAGTTAACTTACAATTTTACAATTAAAAATTTTTTTTAAGAGAAAAAAATCCCTGCCAGTGAGTGTTTCAATATTCTTTTGCATGATTTATTGGTTGGTAACATTTAAGGATTTTTGTAGAACCACCTGTAAATAAATGAAAGCTATTTTTACTTCCATCAGATTTGGATCGTTTGAACTTAAAACTATTCAATATTTAATTGGGTAGAGACAGCCTAAACAGTACATCATATCAAGTGTATAATATTGTAAAATTAGTGTTTATAATATATCTGCTTCCTATATAGTCCATGCCTTTATTCATATTGAATATGAACGAAATGTTTGTAAGAAATCAATACATAGAATTGTACTTGTGTGTCCAAAAACTTTTATATCTATTAGAATCATTAGAACTATAGTAGTTAATTATTGCTATATTTTACACTACTCAAATAATCGACCAGAAATTCAACGCTACCTTTTTATACTTTCAAAGACCATGTTGTACGTAAATACTGCCTAGGCATATAGGGATATTATAATTACAATAATAGTCAATTACGTTAGTTCACTGACTACAGTATATACACTATTCCTCTCAACTGACTACCAAGAGATTTTGGCCTACCCTAACCACAAAGGAATTACTTTAGTTTCTGAACTAACTCCTCCACACCCTAACTACGCCGTAGCTTTCATATTCCACAAGCAGCGAACGCCACTCCGCAACTCGCGAGAAGTGTCAAGCACTCATGCATTATTCATGTTATCAGTTCACCTAAATGACCTTGTATAGTGCCCTCTATAATTTATGCCGGAACCGTATGAAAAAAAAATAATGCGGACTGCCCCCCCCCCCAACCCAATTGTTAAATATTAAAGAAAATTATTAATTCAAATTTTTAAGTCTGAGAAAGAGAGTGCTATTTCCTGCCATCTAGGTCACATAATCGTAAATCTTCTTACCTCAGCCCCCAACCATGGTGAAGCTGAGGTGGTACAGACCCTCCAATTGTCAAAGTACTTCCCTGGGCCCCTCTACTTCAAATTCCTCGATCAGCCACTAAAATCTGAATGGGTAACCATAAGTACTGGAGTGAAGTGTTCATGTTTTTTAGTACGAATGATGATTCTAGCAGCAGTGTTTTGAGTATGTTACAGAAGGCCTAATCCCATGAAGTTAAATTCATTACAGACATAAAATTTAAAGAGTCTATGTATGTATTATTTTATTAATTAAAACAAATGGTATTTAAATATAATTTTTTGTTCTTAAAATTATCATAAATAAATCAAACTTTTTTTTTTCAATGTGGCAATGTTTTACAGAATTTTCAAACTGATCACACTAAACGTTACACACCAAATATACGTTGGGGTCAACTACCATACTTTCCTATCACTGATTGAGTCTATTAAGTACACTGCTTGTAAATCATAACATAGACTCACACGGCATGACGCCAGTACTTATAGCAATGGTAAGGTCAACCAAATTAAATTAGTTTAGTAAAAATATAATTAATATTTATTAATATTCTTATACACAGTTCAACAAAAGAGCTGATTAAACAATTATAATTGTTTATTCAACAAAAGAGTTGATTAAACAATTATAATTGTCTTCCTACATTAGTATTAAAGCTCAGAAAATTTTAATTTGAAAGAAAATAACATTAAAGTACACAAAGTAAGGAAATCAAGATCGAAGTTGATGATTAAATTGGCTTTTTTGTTACTAATTTCTTACCTTGGACTTCATTGCTGCTTTCTTTAATTTATTTGTTGCAGCCTTAATTTTAGCCTCTTCTTTCTTAACAACTGCATCTTCCTCAGCTTTAGCCAGATTCAACTTGAATGACCCACACGCTCCTGTGCCTTTAGCCTGGATGAGGTTTCCACTTCCAATACCACGTTTCAAAGCCATCTTAAGCTGGGTGTTCATGCTAGCAGCATCTACCGTGTAGTTGGCTTGGATGTACTTGCTGATAGCCTGGCGAGAAGAACCATCTCTTTGTTTCAATGCACCGATGGCAGCAGATATCATCTCAAAGTAAGGTGGGTGACAAGCTGGCTTTTTCTTAGCTTTGGTTTCTTGAGATGCCGGTTTCTTCGGAACAGCCTTCTTCTTAGCCTTAGTTTGCGGGCATGGTGGGACATACAACACTAACATTTTATTACGATCAGCCATTTTGCACAAGATGTTTATTGTAGAACTGAGGGAAGAAAAAGAAATCAGCGATACAGTACTTGTTTTATTTATAGCAATACATTGACACACATTCAACTTCTGATGCTTCTGTGTACTGCTACGGTTAACTACTTGCCTATTTGACCTTTCTGAAGAGTCGATCAAACCTTTCTCTGCTACCAAACTTAACTGACCAATCAGAATGTGTTATTCGATAGATGGAGCTTTAAATATACGGCAGGGGTCCAGGCCTGTCCGACGGGTGGGCAGGCAGGCAAATGCCCACCCTGCTCGGTCTCAGATCATTTCGGCCGCCAGATTTTTAACAATAGAAAGTATGGCGCGCCAATACAGTTCCGTTGGTAGTGTGGTTGTGGCAGGATGCGAAAGCGTAGGCAAATAATAATCTGAATAACATGTCATCAGGCAAGAAAAATAAATCTAAAATTCAAACATATCAACAAACGAAATGAAGTTTTATACTATACAGTAAATATTTTCCCTTTTTATTCATGTCACCGCCTCAACCATCAAACGAAATAAAAAAATTCAGCTGTTGTATGACTACGTTCTTCTCATTGGCGGCTGTTGTGTATTCGGTGGCCTTTTTGGCGTTCCATACATTTGGCGCGGCGGCCGAAATGATCGAACACCCCCTGCTCCCCCTCCCCCACCTCCCGCTGCCGCAACCTTTGCATTCAAGTGGGCCAAGCTTTTTTGGGAGTGCGTGTTCCCCAGCCCCCGAATCCCATAGATACAAACTGGGGGAATAAGGTGTAAAAATGGGCAGTTACGCTCCTTTTTCCCCCCAGTTTTTAAATATTAAAAAATCTGTATCTCATTCACCGTTCCCCAGTTTTTCGTCAAACAACTTTTTTCTGTCTTAGAAAAATCAGTTCTACAGCATATCAAACATTTTTTTTCCTCCGGAGCCTGACTTTAATCGAAGATGGTCCATTATTAAACTAGAACTTAACACTGGAAGCGGAGTTATTACTAAAGATTGGCGATGTATAAGGTCTAATTACTAAAAGCATTTTATTAGGTAGGGCCTAAATTAATGAGTTAACAGGAGTGCTCCGACAAAATTTTGATTGCCACACATTAAAATACATGTTTTTACTTAACAATTTATAATTTTAATCTATGTATAAAAAAAAGTCAATCTTAAACATAAATAAACCACATTTTAACAAATTTTGTACATACGTCTTTATTTTAAAAATATATAATTTGAAAACCGAAAGGTCCAGATTAATCTCAGATAAGAAAGTCTAATATACTTCAAGTATTTATAATTTAGATGGTATATTTGCAATACTTTTTTCCTTTAATTTCCTCTAGTCTACAGACATCTCCTGCCATAAATATTACGTTATAATACTGTTAACCCTTTCCCATTCACATAGATCATAAGAGGCTGTTTCTGTAAAAAGAAAATACTGTAATACCAATTGATGCTAAAATAAACTGTATAACAATTATTTAAAAAGTAGTAAAATAAAAATGACTGTTTTCGTGCGCAAACCGTAACGGGAGGCCAAGGCCTATACTGCTTAGGATATCTTATACATTCGCGGTCGAGCCTTCGGCGCTCCATACACCGCGACCGAAATGCATAACCAAAATAGCGCGACCGAAATGCAGGCGCGACCGAAACGATCGGATACCCGACCGGAGAACACCATTTTTAATCCTACTCTAGGCAGATACAGACAGAAGATAGAATGATGATAATTTATGATAGAATGTGTAGTTGACTTGTTGCCGTTGGTGGTTACACGTGACACAATACATCTCATCATATATCAAGTAGTCCTACTGCACAGCAAGGTTAAAAAACTATCTCCTAGTTAGTTTGTTTATTTATTATACATTTGTCCTCCTTGGACCTGGTGGAATCACCCCTGCCTTAGAAGGGTCCAAGGAGGTAGCACAGAAATAACTCTTTCTTTAGTGCAGAATGATATAAAATACTTACGATTTATCAGGTTTTTGCTAACATCAACTGCACGTCCTCAATCTCTAATAAGCTTTACACTCCTCAAAATTCCAACTCCGGGATGAGAATGGGACCTTTGTGAGGAGTTGTCGCTTGATAAACTATTGATTAGGAAAACCCATTATTAAATGGGGGTGTGCTAACTATTTATATTGTGTACGATTATTGATTGATAATGATAATGATGATGATAATGATGATGGTGATGATTGATGACGATGAAGATGACGATGATGATGATGATAATAATATGATGATACAATCACAACTAAATAATAATAATAATAATAATAACGATAATGATTGATAATGATGATAATGATGATGATGATGATGATGATAATGGTGATGATAATGATAATGATGATGATGATTAATGACGATGAAGATGGCGATGATGATGATGATAATAATATGATGATACAATCACGCCTAAATAATAATAATAGTAACGATAATGATTGATAATGATAATGATGGTAATAATGATGATGATGATTGATGACGATGAAGATGGCGATGATGATTTGATGATGATGATGATAATAATAATATGATGAAACAATAGAACCCCTATTAAAGGGACACCCTCGGGACCCAAAAATTGTGTCTCTGAGTTGTCCCCTGAATAGGGGACCACTATTCAGGGGACACTGTGACCAAAATCGTGAAATTGTCCCCTTAACAATGTTTTTGGCATGAGTTACAGTTGAATTATTGGAATTACAGTTGAATGAGTTACAGTTGAATAAACAATTCATTTATAATATGAAATAAAATAAATGTAATTAACACAACAAAAGTTTTAAGCCTACATGTTCCCGATATTGTTTCATGATTCGAATGCAATGTTAATGACCAATTATTCGTTTTTATATATTGAGATTTGTATTAGAAATAAAAGATAAAATAACATGAGTAACGACTTAGAAATCAGGGTACAGTGTTTACCGTACATTAAACAAGAAATTCCCATGGTTAATGGTCAAAATTTAAAGATTGTATTACTAGCCTATATGAAGTACGGTACAACAACACCTACACTGGACCTACCAAAGTTTATTGCTCAAAATATAAATTTGAATGAATTTTTAGGCTACTGTAGTTGTTTTGATACAATGAAAAGTGTCCCCTAAATAGGGGTTAATTGTATTGATTTGACCATTTGCCACACTAAGAAACACAAAGTGTCCCCGTCCCCTATAGGGGTTTGCAATTGTATTAAAAGATATATTTCCCTTCGTTTCACAGAAAAGTTACCCCTCATTATTATTATTATTATTATTATTATTATTATTATTATTATTATTATTATTATTATTATTATTATTATTATTATTATTATTATTATTATTATTATTATTATTGAAACATTTAACCAGCGCTTTGTGGGGGGAGGGCAGGGGCCACAGCCCAAACCCGTCGGGGAGGCCCTTTTGAGCGAGCCCGACCACGCCCACTTTTTACTCGTCGGGCACATCAGACCCCACCCCCCTCCGTCGGGAAAATCCTGGCGCCTAAATCCTAGATTCATTTAAAGTTTATTTAAAAACGTTTTTATTTAACAAACTCTAAGGGTAAACTGTGCAAAAAATATAGTTGGAACAAAGATAATTGGAAGAGGTTGTTATTTGGAAGCCCAAAAAAGGCAAAAAGAACATTGACCGTAGGTTTGGTACGGTACCTGGTGACAGAAAGAAGGTTTTGTGAAGTATATCGGGAAAACAATGAACGCAAATATGATGGTTCATTCTGGCGGAGAGTTAGATGAATAAATGATTAAATAACACGTACTACATTAATAAAAAACATTAGCAATTAACAGAATACATAATTATTATCATCAGATTAATACATATTGGCCTATAAAAATATTGTATTATACTATTGATGCTATCAAATGATTAAACAGCTATAAAAACCACAACGAATAATTTGACAAATAAATATCTGTATGTTAAAAATACGAAAGGTTTCAACGTTACTAGTTATACACATTTGGGTACTTCCATATTATTTGGGTGTTTTTGGGTAATTTCGCATCATGTGGATATGTGTGTATCATTTGGGTAATTCCATATCATTTGGATAATTCGTCGGACCTGTTATAACATTATAAAATGCTTTTTAAAAATGTATTTTGAATCTCTCTAAATATTAACACCCCGGCTACAAATTATAGTTTCCGTGGTATGGACCACTTCCGAAAGTTTGAGCTGAGCGGCGCCCGAACCACGTTGGGTAAATCCATGGCGCCACGCCTGAAATAAGCTCTCATTATTCGCTTTGTTTTTGCTTCTCGGGTTTGTTTATGGATTAATTCACGAAGGCCACTCCGCCTTCACACCTTAGCTGTTATTTCATTGTTTAGCTTTAATAAACAAGTTATGCCTACCTGTTTATACACAGAGGAAAGAACGTCCCTCCTTATAGAATATTACAGAAAAAACAGAGCTTGGCAAACCCAACTAAAGATATTCCCTTCAAATAAAGAATAATTTAAAAGATATAGTTTTATATTGATTTGAATGCAGTTTAAAAAACGATGATGATATGACTATATATCTTACAAATAATACTTATTAAATTTGATGTTTTGTGTGCTCTATATTGAATAGGCCTATCCAACATTCTTAATTTGACCACAGACCCTATATAGGGTCTGTGGTTGACCGTTTGTAATGGAGATATTGGTAGATAAACGAGTGAAGGACTCGATGTATGCCTACCGAGAATTACTTTGAATCAATAACAACGTACAGCAACTGTAAATTCATTCATAAAAACTTGGATTAAACAATTTGAATCTTACATTCACTATTCATTTGTTCACAAAAAATCCGGTCCCAAAAGTGGTCGTTAATTGGTGGGAGACATGTATTACAAAATAGCTTTTAAATAGGCCATCTTTTTTCATATCAAAATACAGTAATATTTATTTACAAGATACCTTATGTTTTATTGGTGCTGATATATAAACCCGCTGATATTCACTCCTGTTTCTCCTATAGTTTTTAAAAACATATTTTATTGCTTTGCAAATAATTTATATTTTTTTTTTTGTCATGCCATATTTTTGTATTGGACCCTATTGGAAATGCTAAGTTGTTTCTTTTCGACTTTATGGGTCATCCTCCTGGTTTATGTTTTGATGTTCAATGTTTTTGTTTTTTGTTTGTTTTTGTAATTTTATATATATTGTAATGCTGGAAACCGAATACAATCAATTCAGAATATAAGTTAATCGTGATGCCATAATTTTTATTCACATACAGTATTGTATTTCAAATATTTCTGCTCGAAGATAGCAGAAAAAATATGATAGTGTGCGTGCCGGTATCTTTTGCGGGTCGTGTGATATAACTCAAACAATTATTAACCTATCACTTCCAATCCCGATCGAACGCACACAACGAAACTTATATTATATTAAACATCGAAAAAGAAAATATGTAATTTTTCTATTTTTAGCGCCTAATTTAAATTATGGGGGAAATCGTGACTACATCGCAATATCTGAATTTCATCCATGTACTCTATCTAGATGACGTTTCCAACCGTTGTCAGTGGATCTTCATCAGATAATGACCGGCATGGTTTGCATGATGTCGATTTCGAGACACACTCTGCCAGTAGCCTAATTTCAGAAC